TTAAGCTATCTGAGCCTCTATCAGCCAGTGGTGGGACAGGCCCTTAGTGTACATCAAACTTGCGTGATCAAAGACATTTTAAAAAAACGTAGACTGGACATAGAGACATTTTTTCATCGGTAACTTCTTTGTATGGTAATATCTCAATATCAAAGACACGCCAAAACGCTTAGTCTTTGTATTATTTGTTTGTGATGACTATTGGACACCAGGTGGCGCTAGTGAGATTTTATAAAATACGTTTCAAGTGTCAATTATGCTTACTTATATATTTTTTAAACTGTTTGTAGGTGATAGAAGAACCCCAAGAAGAGAACAATAGCATAGAAGAGCCGGAGTACCTGGTGAGGGAAAGTAGGGATGTTGGGAGGGCGGGGGAGGGCGCGGAGGGGGAGGTGGCGGATGAAGTGGACCTGCCGGTGCCGCGGCGCGTGTACGTGTGCAAATACTGCACGAAGCCATTCAAACGGAAGGACCACTTCAAAATACATCTTCACATACACACCGGTATCAAGTCCTTCTTCTGTGCTGTTTGTGGGAAAGGTGAGTACAAATTTTTTACTTGTCCTGACTTTAATTACCTTTTTTGTATGGGGGGGGGGACTCTGGTGCAATAAATGTTGGTTCTGGGATTTCCCTGGAACGCACCGGAACCTTCGGCACTTTACCACACAATAGAGGATGTTGCCTGATATTCCGCAGAACCATGGCAACATAGGACCACGCTATGCCACCATCTTGATTTAATTACCTACATTATTTTCATGGCACAAATTGAACCTTCACGTATAGTCGGGGAAACTGGCGGTGTTCCATCGAAGCTACAATCGTTTGAACACAAACGAGACGCAAAAAAAATCAACAAATTCCGCGACTGTACCTAGTAACGCCAATTTAATTAAAGTATGACCAAACAAAAAGCGTATAGGCTAGAGGAAAAGTAAAGAAATAACTTTATTTAGAAATATGAAAAAACATTATTTAAGAAAAATACTTATTCTTAATGCACTAAACGTGTTCCATTTTGTTCTGGATTGTGCAGGTTTCTACCGCAAGGACCACCTGCAGAAGCACACGCAGGTGCACAGCAGGACGCGGCCGGCGCGCCGCCAGCTGCCCGACCTCTACCCCATCAGTATGCTCAACAAAGAAGTCGTGCCGGAAATCACTATACACGTAAGTGATCATCACCTCCCCTATTTTTTTTTCTCGCTGGGAAAATGCATTTACGCATCCCCCCCGTTCCCAGGGGGGTATGTGGGACTCGCCGGCCGAGGATGGAAGATGGCCGGAATACCCACTAAAAACCCAGCGGTGTTCCTTCTGCCCGCCAGTGGCTGGGTCACGGGAACGCTTGTGCTTTCTTCCCCGACCCAGCCGGCAATCATCACCTACCCTGCCTTATCCTACTCCGGTAGTGACGCACCGGAAGTTCGTCCTCCAAATAACGCTATCATCCGTCTCAGTCATCACTCCTTGATCATGTCACCTTCCACGCAATCCATCCATCTCACACGTAAGTCATAGTAATAATTAAACTTACTAATATTATAAATGCGAAAGTTTAGATGGATGGATGTTTGTTAAGTTTGTAGCCTAAACTGCTGAATTCTGATTAAATTTGACATAGATGTAGAGTATGGAGGAACATGTAGGGTACTTTGTTTTTTAATTCCACGCGGACGGAGATGCAGACGAATGCTAGTTTACAATAGAACTGTAATTACATTTATTTATTTAGATTTTGTCAACATTATATGTAAATATTTCTATATATATTTGAGAAGTAACATTATAGTATGAACATGAGAAATAATGCAATGTAAATTAAATGAGAAAGTATCAAGATTAAATCATGGCTACAAAATAAGAGGAATGCCAAAGAAATGTCATTCTATTTGCAAAGTTTAGTGATAAAATTGATGATAGAACAAGTTTGTTATTATTAAATCTGTGATTACAGCTTTATGAAGGTAAAATTGTTTAGATAGTTTGGTTACAATTGTTTCCGTTGAATAAATTTAAAATAGTGACATCTAGTTTCGAAACAGAGAAACGGTATGGAACAAAACCATTGTAGATTTATTATAACTTTAAACTGTCGTGGTTTTTACAAATATAATCCTATAGAGAGCTAAAACAACCCAATTATGGTAAGAAACCCGTATTTTACGAAATTTATAATATTTATTTTATTTTGCAGGCACCATCAAATACGAAACTGCGTGTACCGTTACAAATAAAGGTACCGTACCAAATGGTGATGTCGATGGACAATGGTGAACAACGCGCCATCACCATCGACCCTCAGGCTTCTACCAGGCTACAATGAACTCGGTACTCAGAGACATAAGTGACAGTATCTCTCCCTAAGTGTAAACAAGATTTAAGTGCGGTAGTTAGAAAATTTTATCAAATAGTTGTTATATTTTACGATAACTGTCTACCCCAAAAGTGGTATGCACAATATAAAGCCGTGTTATCGTGTTTATGAACGACTAATATATTTTTAGAAATAATTGGTTCGCATTTTGTTCTTTCCTTCAAATGTTCAAGTTCCAATTTAAAGTAACAAATATTAAAAAGTCTATGTAAGACATTCAACATTTTACATTCAATTTTGCTTTGAATGTAAAATTAGTTAATTAATTAATTAATATAGAAAGTGTTTTGTATTTATTGAATACTAAGTTTATCTAGTATAGATTATTTTTGACACAAAAACAATGCTCCAATTTGTTATATCTGCATTTCATTTAATTTTGTCACCCGGGTCCAAGTAGTCTTACAAAGATCTCTATGTCATTTAGTATTATAGTTTCACAAAGTAAACTAAAGTATGAATTAGCAATTATTTATTGGATTTACTTTGATTTTGCTATTACAAATATGAAGTTAATAAAATGTAAATAGCGCCATCTAGTTAAAGAATTATGCATCTGTCTCTGTCGGTAAAACAGTTCGAAGTGAATCAATATTTAATTCAATAATTATCACAATATGAATAGACTTTATTATGTTTTAGTTTTCTTATAAATTGTGTGCACGAACATTTACAGTTGTAATGTGTTTAATTAACGAGATTACATAAAAATAATGTACATAACTTTTAATGTAGACATTACTGTGTAAATAAAAACTCATTAGTTAAATTGGTAAAATTGTTGCTTTAATTTCTATGCCATTTAAAAAATCTTACGTATTTACAGTTCCTCTTATCTTTAACACAATAATTTGTGATCGTAGCATGTAAGTTTTGTATCAAAGTACAAAAATAAACGTATTTTGCACTGTCGTTTTGGTTATTTGAAATGAAACCCTTTTTTCGTTATTTAAATCTGTTTATTAAATAAAAGCGAAGAATACAATGGAAGCACGAACGTCTATTTGTTATGGTGCCGACATAAAAAAGTGATTTATTTGAACAGCGCCATGATTTATCTATGGAAAAATACATAAAGAAAACTTAAATTATGCATCTTACATTTACCGTAGTTTTGTAAGACGTTTTTAAAAACCTATTTTTATCCAATTATAAATAAATCAACTATAAATAAGTTTATCAAGCGATCCGTTGCTCGTTTCCCGCTTTTCCTACTAAAAAAAATTAATAATAAACGGTAATAAAAGAAATCCAGTGGTTGCCAAACTTTGATATCCAAAAATTATTTGTAAAAAGACGTTTAATTTTTTTCTGAGTCTGTTTGATCACTACACTGCCAGGATTTCTCGTATTTGCTTATTTCTAAATACTTTTAATATAGTTTGAGAACCACTGGTATAGGTAATTATTTTCGTTGTTTTTGTTCTTCTAGACTATTAAAAGTTCTTTAGTAATAAATGTTTAATAAGATTTAGGAACGTTTTGTTTTCCCAAAAATATATATATTTATAAAAGAATTTAGAGTTTCGCTCAATAAATATATTTCGATCTTGTTGAAAGGTTTGAACTTTTGTATTCTACCAATTAATACTTATGTCCTATTATTAAATAATACCGAATTTTTAACTGTGATTTAAACATTTTATTCTGTTCAAAATCTATAATACATTTTGTACTTTAGACAAGATTATACGTCGAAGAAGATTATTATCTATAAAAATATTTAAACTCAACTGTGAATTTTCATTGTCGAAACACTTGTATAGAAACATGCCAGACTGCTTCAAGTCATCAGACGAAGAGTTGCATCTCTCTAAGAGAAATGTAAGGGCCTGTCCTTCCAAATGGTAAATTGTTATACAATCCAAAGGGTAAAATATGTGATGGAAATATCGGATTTTGTTGACCGACTTCCCAAAAGAAGGAGGTACTCAAATCATCTGTATGTTTTTTTTATTATTTTTTTATGTCTTACGGCATAACTCCGCCGCTAGAGGACCGATTTTAATGATTCTTTTTTTACCTTATCTGACAGTGACATCATAAACTATCTGAGCTTCTATCAGCCAGTGGTGGAACAGGCCCTAAATGTTTTTGTCGAATCGTCGATATAACTGTATTGAAGAATATTGTTTCGTTCATGAAATTTCACGGTTATAATATTTTAACCACAGCATCAATCGTACAGTTAGCGATCTATTAAATAACTATGCAATTCTACGCATGACTTATCTAAAAAAATAAATTAGAATTCTCATCAAAACAGTTTTAGAACCAAAACATTAGCTATAACAGTGATTTTAAAAATACTTATAACCAAATCAACTCTTTTAGAGATCACCAACACATATATCTCTGAATATCTTCAAACAGCAAAAAATATCAAATTACTAAACAAAATTTTACTAGAATATTTTGATCACAATGCTTTAGATAATTTTTATTTTACATTTTTACAAATTGATTAAACAGCCCTTTTTACATTTTCTATTGAATTACAGATACACTAAGGTCCTGTCCCACAATTCTTGTTAAATAACATAACAATCCAACGTATATAATATCTGATGGAAGTATCGGATTTTAGTACTCTGACAGTGACGTCACTTTTAAGCTATCTAAGCCTCTATCAGCCAGTGGTGGGACAGGCCCTAAATTTTCTAATTAGATAATATGTTACTAACAAAAGTAAATCTAGGCATTTTTTCGGCGTGTTTTAATCGTTTTTCTCTAATTTGTGCGCGCGACAAATAAATCGCGTTAATACATAAAATTCTTGCATTTACATCTTTTTTACACTATACATTTAATTTCCAATTAGTCTATCCGTTTTATCCGGCAGTACTTTAGTGCGGAACATTTTTTTTAAATCATATCGAAATACTCACCATTTCATTACTCTTGTGAAAAAAAATGTCATTAAAAATAGCTTTAATACAGTAATGCAGATCTGTTTATTCTAAAACAAATTTTGTTTATGATAATTCCGAGATATGGCCATAGTTGTTAATTATTTAAAAAGTAAAAGCTAAACACATTTATAACGAAAATAATAATATGACATTTAGTAATGCAAAACGAAAACTTTTTAAAAACCGAATATTTTAAAGAACCTTTTACTTTCTGTATTAAAAAACATAGATGTGACAGATCAGTAAGCTCTAAAAATGGACAGGTTATAAGACAGCATTTTTTCCTTATTTGACATTCACCATTTTGTTGCTAACGGTTGCGGTTAGTGGTGAGAATTCGAAATAATAGATATAGAATTAACTATTACGTCAAAAAACGTATTTAAATCGAAAGAAAGCAACAGACAAACATCCTATCCATTTTTAGAGATCAGTGTGACAAAACAAAACGTTTCCGTAATCTATAGATTATGTGATCTATGAACCAACATAATCTATAGTATATGTCAAATCATTTTGTTTTTGGCGGGAAGTGTTTTTATTATCAGAAGACGTCCTTGGCGGCTTGTATGAGTGAGAGAAGGTCGTGCTTGTCGTCTGGTCAGGAGGGCAGGGGCGCGGGCGCGGGCGCTGCGGGCTGCGACAGCGGAGCGCCGCCCGCCTGCTGAGACAGCTCCGCCTTCACGCGCCGCGCGATATGGGACCGCGTGTGCTTGCGGAGATGGTCTTTACGATAGAAACCTGTGAAAAACGCGTTGAGCTTGTTACATTTATAAATATTCATTTAGTAATGAAAGAAATTGATTGATATTTACTGTTACTATTATATCGTAACAAAAAGATTGTTTCAACCACAGATAATACAATTACTCTTGTTTCAACAATCAACTAAAATAAATCCATTTGCATCAATGCTTACAATTTTCATACATATATTTCAAACTATTGGACCGATTTTACAATTTTTCACTAATATATTAGTCCTGCATAACAGATTTTATGACTATAGTATACAAGTCCCCTCTTGTGAAATCCTTACTAGTCAGAAAGAGACAAATTAGTTGAGTACTAGATGTAGTTACCTTTCCCACACTCGTTGCAAATATGACGCTTCTCGCCGGAGTGTATAACAAAGTGCAGAGTGAGTTGCTCCTTGCGTTTGAACGCCTTGAGGCAGACGGAGCAGACGTGGGGCCGTTCCGGGTTGTGCGACTGCTTGTGACGCGTCAAGTGATCCTTGCGTTTCAACGCCGCGTTGCAGATATCGCAAATAAACCTGTTTAACATTAATTAATACTTGAATCTTGGTTAATCCTTCAAGTTATGTATTGTAACATTTTAAATTCCATCAATAATCATGATCTATACTATTATAATAAAGCGCAAACACACACTTCTTTGTTGCCTAAGATGTCAGCAATTACAGCATATTTTTGAATAATTCTTCTTTTAATAAAAAGTCCTACACTTACGTCATGCTTTAGGCTAATTTCATGCGGATGAAGCCGCACGGGAACAGGTAGTTTAGAATATTCCAGAGACTTGTCTCTGATCTTGATCAAGGTTATGAAATAATGAAAGACATTTTAAAGAAAAGACTCGTATGGATTATCTATATAAAGAATTCTTATTGCAAACGTATTTTAACGCACCTTCTCTCCATAGTGTGTCCCACTAAATGTTGTTCCAGCAGCTCCCTCTCAGGGTACGCCATGTGGCACTCAGGGCAGCAATACAAAGTACTGCCATCTGGGAATTTCAAAACAAGCAAAATCTATTAACACTTAGGTTTATTTTCTACAGAAAAACATGCTTTTAAAACAAACTGCGTAACTCACACTCGTAAAGATCTTGGTAACTCACCTAAAGCAGTCGTCAATCGTATCTCTCCAGGTTTAGGCCGCGGTTTTTTCTCTTTCAATGTTTTCTTCTTCTTTTTCTTCTTTGATATAGTGATGGTGGTCGTGTTTGACGTCAAGTTCTGGTTAACAATCGCAGTCTGCACCACCACGCTATTGACAGAGTTTGTCGCCGGCTGGAATACGAAGAAATTGACTATTAGACTAGAAACTTTGTTATCAAAGGCGACTCAAGAATAATACTACTTCATGCTTTTCACCGATTGTTAATTTAGCGCTAGCTGTTGCTCGCGACTTCGTCGTCGTCGTGCAATTAATAAATAATAAAAATATAGCCTATTTTAATTAGAAATCGCTCCAGTTTTTGACTTATTTCAATATATACAAAAATCCAAAAATCCAAATCTTTCCTCTTTATAATATTAGTAAATATGATAGATATAGTTTCTTTACCGTCTTACATATCAAAGTTAGAATCTAAAACTAATCTTGTACCAAGATACGAGATGAATAATGATTCTAAATAGAATTTAACTCTAACTACCCACATACCGGAGTGATTGAGGATATAGCGGGCAGTGTGTTAGTGGCGACTGCAGTAACGATAGTTGGCTGTTCCTCGCGCTTGTCGGGCGTCGAGTATTTAAGCAGGTGGTGAAGAGGTAGCGGCAGAGCGGACAGGTAGTCTGCCACTCCTCCACCTAGCGTCTGCCATGTCGACGTGTCCGTCACGTCACCGATACCTGACACGAAAGTATTTTTCTCACATCTTCATGAAAATATTTCTACGAAATATCAAGAACTAGTTGTTACTCGCGACTATGTCCGCATGACATTAAAAAAATACCTATGTTACTCACTGATGACGTAGCTTTTTAATGGTGTAAGAATTTTTGAAATCGGCCCACTTGTTTTCAATACATACAAAAATAAAAATCATACCTTTTTTTAACATTAATTGTAGATTATAAAAGGAAAATTGTAATACTTATAATATGATGTGCTATCAGAAAAAAAAACTTACTAACGCCTTGCATAAATGAATTTAAATATTACACAAATGTTTATGTAAAATTTAACACAAGAGGAAGTTAAAAATAATAATGCGAGTGGTGTAACAAATAACGTTTTTGATTTAGAAGACTTAAAACTATGATTCTATCTGATTATTGTCACCTACTGATAAACTCAGCGGGCGCTGCATTCCGGTCTATGCGGCCCTCTTGCTTGATGGCCCGTGCGAACGCGGCTGCCTCCTTGGGCTCGTGCAACACCACCACCAACTGCTGCGTGCCCGCCTGCAGGGTCCCCCCACCTTAATACCACAAACCATTGTGCTATTAACAAACAAAATTTGGTAAAATGACTGATGTAAGGAAACAAATGACACGTCACTCTTCGTAATTGTTCAAGCAGTCAAAGTGCCCTGACATTATAGGATAGTCTGGAAGCAAGATTATTACTGGTGGTACGAGATATGACGCTAGTACCTTGCTGCTGCATCATGGTGGCCATCAGGTCATGGTGCAGCTCCTCACGATACTCGCGTTTGTCGATGCGTTGCTCGGCCTTCAGTTGGTGCACGGTGTCGGCCTGCACGTAGCCCGCCCCGCCGGCAAC